TTCTGTTCCCGTAAAGATTTACAGCCTTGGAAACCCTGTACAGGGTCGCTATGAGTCAGAACCGACTCCAAGACACATAACAACAACAAATGGTGGTAGTGGTGGTTGTATGCCTCCTAATCAGTTCCGACTCATAGCTATCCTGTGTAGGGTTTCTGAAGCTGTACACCTTTATGGGAGCAGAAAGCCTCATTCTCCTTCCACGGCATAAGTGGTCGACTTGAACAACTGACCTTGTGGTTAGCAGCCCAGCTCCTAACCCACTACGTTACCAGGGCTCCTTCTCTTTCACTATATTTCTCTTTTAGTCACGTGACTATGGTTCCATTTAAATAGAGTCAATGTCTTTTTAAATAAATAAACTTAATTAATTTAGGGCCAAAGACATGTGGATTTAAAATGCAAAAAATTATAGATTGAAGTTTTTGAAAGCTTACTGTAAATTACATAATCCTTCTATTATAAAGTAAATTCTCTATAAGCATTTACTGTGCAATTAGCAGACACTGCTAAAACTGCTGAACACTGTTGTAGGCACTGGAGATTCACAGAAGTCATCCTAATTTTTTCCTCTCAAATTGGCATAAATGAAAGAAGGGAGCATTTTATAAATAATTTAGATCTCAAATATAACTAGCAAATTGCATAGTGACCAGTTGAAGGCTCATAGTTAGAGAATTACAGATGTGGGTTTACTAACAACTCTGTCGTTTACTGAGTGTGATCTCAGACAAACTAATTAATGACACAGCTTTTTCATTTGGAAAATAGGACTCTAGTAATAGTACTGACCTCATGGTAATGTTTTGATTATTAAGTGATATGCAAATTACTGAGTACAGTGCATGCTTGAAGTAACATAGCAATGCTATTTTTATTACCAAGTTCCTTTGCCAATAAGTCTTCCTTTTAAATCAGGAAAAAAAGACAGAAAGCAAGAAGCTATCATTGTGCGCTAGTACCAGTCTGGAACAGAAAGCGAAAGAACGATGCGTAGGGAAGGACTGGTAATATTTTAGCAGATGCAGAAATGGGGAGGACATTGTACGCAGAGGTCCAAGATGAGCAAAGGCATAGAAATTGAGGTTGGCAGATTGTGTTTAGGAAATGGAGAGGAGCTGGCTGGTTTGACAAATGTGCACACCAGGAGTTTGGGGTTGGAAGCAGTATTAGTTGCAACTGAAGGCACCAAGTAAGCCTGAGCAGGTCAAGAGGGTTCTTGTAGGCCAGGCATAAAACTAGGGCTTTATCTTCCAGTGGTGTGGATGGAAGCCAGACAGCAGAAAACAGAAGAGCAGCTGAGGGGCAAAGATGTAGGAATATGAATAATGCGAACAAGAGAGAGTATTTGACAAGAGTCCCTGGGTGATTCTAATGATAAACACACTTGGCTGCTTGCTGAAAAGTTGGCAGTTTGAGTCAACCCAGAGGTATCTTGGAAGAAAGACTTGGCAGTCTAATTCTGAAAAATCAGCCATTGAAAAGCCTGTGGGTCACAGTTCTACTCTGACACGCATGGGATCACCCTCAATTGGAATTGACTCTGTGCCAACTGGAAGGCCTTGAAAGAGCCTTAGGTCAAGGAAGAAACCGAAGACCTTAGATGAAAGTAAAAGATCATGGATAATTATGGAGCAAGTAGTGGAACCAGGGGTGGGGGTGGGGGGGGCATCAAGAGTCTAGATGTGAGGTTAGCTTTGTAAAGGAATAATAAAGATGCTTCTTCTGAAACAGAAGGGAAAAGGAGAAAAGTAGTGAATATGTGAATGAGCTGGGTTGTGGAGGGAGAGGAGCTTTGAAGGACTTCATGCCTGTTGGTTTCTAATTTCTTGAAGTTTGGAAAGAAATTATGTATTGAGAAGGGAGTACATCAGGAGTGGGATTTAGGATTTAGAGTTAGGGGTAGGGATTGTACTATCACCCATAGGGAATGGTGAATACAGTTTACTTGGGAGGAGCAGAAGGATGGCTGAACAGCATTGAAATTCAGCTGATACCCAATGACCTCTCTCAGGAGAAGGCTCTCAGCCAGGCTGTGTGATTCTCCCCAGCAGCAACACGGGTAGTAGAAGCAAAAGGAGAGGGAGACATTATTAGACATGGGCTGATATAAGGGTTGCAGGGATTCAGGATGCTGGAAGGTTGCAACTGACGTATAGATAGGAATAAGTGAAGCCAAGACAATGCTAACTAGTCAGTTTTACGAGACTAGGTGGGGGCCATGGGAAGCAGATGTGATGAGAGTGGGAGAGGAGAGGAGCCAAACATAGTATTTTGTGACTGGAAGGGGAGGGCATTTCAGTGTTTTATAGGATTATTTTATTTTTGTTTTACAGAAAGCATTTACATTTACACTGGTTTAACATTCTCAACTGTTTCCTTTGTTTGCACAGATCATGAGCAGTATGCCCAGGGCTTAAGTGAAATTTTGATTTCCTTTTCTTGAGAGCTTTGTCAAGGGCATGTAGCACTGATAGAGGGTGAATTGAGAGTGTTTTCCTTAAGTGAGGAAAAAACCAAGCTTTTAACAAGGGTACAAGTTTCAACCAGTTCTCTAGAAACTTGTATTTTTCCTATCAGAGAAAAACAACAACAAAAACAAACGAACAAAACAACCAACCAACAAACCCAACAACGAGCATAATAAATTCAATGATTGATCTTTCTTTGCTTTGCTTTTATAGGTAAAACCAGTAAGCCACAGCAGGATCAATGTGTCCGCTCGCTTTAGAAAACCACGCCAGGAACCCTGCACTATCTTGTAAGTTGGATCCCTTTGTATTTGGAGTTGAAATTGGCTTCGTGCTTTCCTTTTGGCTTGGGATTCACTTTGCTCTTTGAAAGGCATAATTATTTCAAATGGTGTAGCTCATGGGATTTGCTTTTTTTTTTTGTCTTCAGCTTGATCGCAAATGGAGACCTCATAAACCCAGCTTCTCGCCTCCTCATCCCAAGAAAAGCCTTGAATCAGTGGGACCATGTACTACAGATGATCACGGAAAAAATAACTCTGAGGAGTGGCGCCGTCCATAGGTACGCTAGGCAGCCCTGCAAGTGGCTAGTTTCGAAGCTGCTTAAGTGTTTCCTGGAGTCCTGGTGTGGTGCTGTGGGTTAACGCGCCAGACTGCAAAGCAGTTTGAACTGCAACATCGGCGGTTCAAGCTCACCAGCTGCTCCTCGGAAACCCTATACAGAGTCGCTATGGGCCGGAACCGACTCGACAGCACCTCACAACAACAACAAGGATTTACTGGAAGCTTTAGAGCCGCTTGTTCCTATGAATTCCAACCCACCAATTAGGCACCACAGCCTGTCTCCTTATCTGTAAAATAGTACTTACCTCATGGGGTTGTTTTAAGGAATGAGACAATTTATTAAGAGTTTAAAACAAAAAGGTCCTTGGCACATAGTAGTAGCATGTGATTTAGAGCAAAAGGGCAAGCATCAACAATTTTTGAATTCGAAAGGTTTTAATTTATTTTTTAAGACTGCTGGTTGTTTGAATCATAATACCAGGAGAATCTTATGATTCTTTTTACTTGGGATTAAAAAGTCAGACATCAGGAAATTGTTCTTAAGTAGCCCCAAGTTAGTTCTGACTCATAGAGACCCTGTGTAGGGTTTCCAAGGAGCAGCTGGTTGGTTTGAACCGCTGACCTTGCAGTTGGCAGTCCAGTGCTTGTCCAGTAATGCCACACCAGGAAGCATTAATGGATTTAAGAAAGATGCTGGAGATTGAGGATGTCATGTGGGGTTGTCTAAATTTGAATAACCAAAATAATTTTTATTGGATTCTGTAATTTAAGAAAATATTAAGATTATTGCTTTTTAATTGTGAAGTCTGTGGAATTATTCTTTGATGGAGGCTGATTTAATTTCTTTTCCTTGAGGTGGGAAGGTTACATATAATATATATGTATATAAAGTATATTAAGAATATTCATATTTTAAAAACACACATAAGTATTTGAAATTCATTCAAGAATGTTTGGTAGTTCTTGAATCCTCTCTTCACCCCAGTTTCTCATTGTCCTCAGCTGGTAAGAGTACACTCTTACTTTCAAGTTCTTTTGGAGTCTCTGGATAGTGCAAGTATTTAACTTGCTTGGCTGCTAACTGAAAGATAAGAGATTCCTATCCATCCAGGATATCCTCAGAACACTGGTCTGGGAGTCTACTTCCAAAAAATCAGCCACTGAAAACTTTGTGGAGCATAGGTCTACTCTGACACACATGGGTTACCATTAGTTGGAATTACCTTGATGGCATCTGGTGACACCTATTTTCATATCTATATATACATTGATATCTGTATCTGTATAGCTATGTTGTTAAGTGCCATTGAGTCGGTTCCGACCCATAGCGACCCTGAACAGGATTTCCGAGGCTGTAAATCTTTACGGGAGCAGAAAGCCTCATCAGACATGTTCTATAACATAAGTTTCTCAAATATTTGCATACTATGTTTGAATACATGTGCATACAGATTATGTATGCTTATATATATATATAAATCTATATAGTTTCATGTTGTTGTTGTTTAGTGCCATCGGGTCAGTTCCAACTCATAACAACCCTGCCTAGGGTTTCTGAGGAGTAGCTGGTGGATTTGAACTGCCAACCCTGTGGTTTGCAGTCCAGCACTTCTCTTATAGTGTCAAACCAGGAGTCCATCTAGTTTTATAGCCATAGCAATTTTAAATATAGTAAGGCATTTTAATGAAAAATGTTATCTTCATGTGGTACAAAAACAAACAAAACAAAACTCAAATAGAAAACAAAATAGAAATACAGAATCTCTCTCCCGCCTCAGACCCCTCCAATTCTTGTCATCAATAGTTCTTTTGTATCATTACAACAGATTCTATGCATATGCATGCACTACAATTTTATTTCTTGAAAACAGAATTGAGGACGCATATATGTGCGTGTTGCTTTTTCCCTGTAACAACAAACCTTCAAGATTAATCTAGGCAGTCTGGCTCCAGATCCTCCTGTACTGTTAACTATTAATCTACTCTCTGAAAAAATGCCATATATACGTATCTATGTATAAATATGTATATATACGTATTGTTGTTGTTGTTAGGTGCTATCGAGTTGGTACCGACTCATAGTGACCTTATGCACAGCACAACGAAACACTGCCCGATCCTGGTCTAACCTCACTATTGTTGCCACGCTTGAGTCCATTGATGCTGCTTCTTGGCCAATCCACCTTTTTGGGAGTTTTCCTCTTTTTCTCTGACCCTCCACCTTACAAAACATGATATCCTTCTCCAGCAACTGGTCCCTCCTGACAATATATCCCAATATGAGAGACAAAGTGCTCCAAGGAGCACTCTGGCTGCACTTCTTCCAACACAGATCTGTTGGTTCTTTTGGCAGCCCATGGCACTTTCAGTATTC